TCCTTCTCCAGCTGCATCTCTTGTCAATATAAGGGACTCCTCCCTGTCGCACCCCCAGACGTGTCGGTAGGGCGGGCCGGGCGTTTCGCCTGAGACTTCCTCATCATTTATGGCCCTGAAGCTTAAAAGCGGACACGTCCTTTCAAAACGTGGTTCTCTCCCGAGCGCCGCGCACTTTCGCCTTGAAGCTCTGAAGCAGCTTCGAAAATGGAAGGCGTGCTGTTTTCAAAATGTGGCTCTCGCCTTAGGGCCACGCATATGCGTCCTAAACATTAGCAGGCGACTCAAGACTGGAGGACAGGTCCTTTTCAAAATGCGGGTCTCGCCTTAACGCCGCGCGGATTTCTCAAAAAAGTTTGCACCAGTTTTAAGGACTTGAACGGATGGAGCCACACGAACGGTTTTCTGACAAGATGTAAGACTGTCATGGCGCAACAATCACATTGACTCGTGCTGCTGCCGGCCCAAAAACTACGTTCTGGCACAATTTAGGACTGTCCGGACGCAACCGTCACCTTGATCCGCGGCGTTCACATCCCAGGCATGGTGTCTGAGCACGATTGGAACTTTGCACACGGTTGCCTTCTAATCGGCCACTTCCCACAACGGGGATGAGTTCTTGTAGTGGCATGGAAACTTGGATGGAAGGTTTATTGCAGCATCGTTTATGCGTCTTGGATTTACACTGGCCCTCCTCCTCCGCCTCCTCCTCATGGGCGCGAGATCGACTTGCCATCGCTCGGAGGACGTCCGAGAAGAAAGCTCAAGCCGGACGTGCTGAAACTTCGGATGCTCGCCTCGTCAGGTGCACTCTTCCAGGAAGGGGAGGATGGAGTAATGGGCAGCAGGAGGACGATGAGGCAGGACCAAGCAGGGAGGAGGAGGGAGGGGTGGGGGACGGGCGGCACACATCTTATAACACACCGCGGCATGAAGACACTCTTGCAGGTCCGCACTGATTGCTGGGGTCGGCGCTGGGCCCCCCTCGGCTGGCGCACAGAGCGCCTCGGGGGGCGGTGCTGGAGGCGCCGCCTGGTGGATCAAGAGGCACGGAACCAATAGCCCCGCTCGGATTATGCTCGTGCAGTTGTTGGATTTCTCTGATTCTGTAATGCGAAACATCGTTCGACCGATCGCCCCCACACTGGGAAGGCCTCGGACCCCCTGTCCGACCTGCGTAGTTACCTCATTCAAGTGGATGCGGATAGATGCCGTCTATGTCGAGCTTCGCGGCGCACATCCCCATCTCGAAGATGGAAGACTGGTGGCGCTGCGGAAACCTGGCCCTCTGGCTCACGATGTCGGGAAAAACCGCAACAGCAGCAGCAGCAGCAGCAGCAGCAGCAGCAGCAGCAGGACGGGAGACCGGGGGCGCGAGAGCTCCTCTCGAGGCGATCGCCCGCTCGGCCCGGCAGCTGCTCCGGATGATGGCCTCCCCGATGCACGTGTGCCCCACCATCGCGAAGACCTCCGTTGGGAAAGGGGCACCACCGCCTCCACCTCCTCCTCCTCCTCCTCCTCCTCCTCCTCCTCCTCCTCCTCCTCCTCCTCCTCCTCCTCCCTCTCCTCCTCCTCCCTCTCCTCCTTCTCCTCCTCCTCCTCCTCCTCTCTTCCCACGTCCTCCTGCTCCTCTTCTCGCTCCTGCTCCCGCTCCTACTCCCTCCGCCTCCCTCGCCCTCCCTCTCACTCTTCCTCCTCCCATTCTCTCCCCCTCCTCCTCAACCATCTTGCTTCTCCGCCTTCTTCTCCCCCCCCCCTTCCTTCTCCTCAACCCTCTCCTCCCTCCTCTTACTCCGCCCCTCGTTCTTCGTGTATTCTTCCCCACCCTGCTCCCGCTCTACCCCTCCTCCTCCTCCTCCTCCTCCTCCTCTCCTCCTCCTCCTCCTCCTCCTCCTCCTCCTCCTCCTCCTCCTCCTCCTCCTCCTCGTCCCCCTGTTTCTTCCCCTCCCTGGGATTGGAGAGGAGGGGGAGGAGTGCTGCTGTGGGCGTCCAGTGCGGAGCCCTAGCAGGAAACCGCAGGAGACAAGAAAGGGTAGTGGAGGCAGAAAGCACGTCGGGTCCGACAATCGGGACATAGAAGAGGAACAGCACCACTCAGCCGCCAGAACAACCATAGGCACTCACAACCATAATTTGCACCAACCCATCCCCCCTGCACTTATCACCCCCTACTCTTTTCCACCTTATCCTCCTCGTCCCCCATCCGTATTCCCCTCTCGGCCTCTCATCTCATCATACCTCCTCCACCTCCTCCTCCTCCTCCCTCCTCCTCCTCCTCCTCCTCCTTCTCCTCCTCCTTCTTCTTCCGCATCATCCCACATCTGGGAAAACTAAAAGGTACCGATACTGCTACTTCCTGGACCTCTCCCAGAATGCGTTCTGACCAGGATTTCGAGGCGAATCCAGCGGTGGCGACGAGGGCCTCCAAGGAGGCCCAAAAAGGGGAAGACGAGCGAAAGGTAGAGGAGCGAAAGGTAGAGGTATGGGCACCTTTTCTTTCACCGACCTCCTCCTCCCTCCTCCTCATCCTCCTCCTCCTCCTCCTCCTCCTCCTCCTCCTCCTCCTCCTCCTCCTCCTCCTCCTCTCCGCCTCCTCGTCCTCCTCAACCCACACCATCCCGCACCTCCTCGTCCTCCTGCTCACTCTGGGCGGCCCTGTTGGCCACTGCGGCCACTCGCGCTAAAGCCGGCGGCGCTGCCGGGAGCGGAGTGGCCGCGCCTCTCCTTGCCTCACCTGCCCCTCCTTCGTTGTAAGGACAGCTCACGCGCCCGCACGCCCGCGGTGCTGCTGATCCTCCCCCTCCTCCTCATTCCTTCGCCTCCTCCTCCTCCTCCTCCTCAATCCCTCCTCCTCCTCCTCCTCCTCCTCCTCCTCCTCCTCCTCCTCCTCCTCCTCCCTCCTCTTACTCCTCCTCGTCCTCCTTCTCCTCCTCCTCCTTCCCACTCCTCCTCCTCCTCCTCCTCCTCCTCCTCCTCCTCCTCCTCCTCTCCTTCTCATCCTCCTCACCTCCTCCTCCTCCGCCTCCTCCTCCAACCCTCATCATCGCCACCCTCCTCCTTCCTCCTCCCTCCTCCTCCTCCTCCTCCTCCTCCTCCTCCTCCTCCTCCTCCTCCTCCTCCGTCCCTGCTCCGTGCACCGCTGTCCTCGTCTGTTGTTCTCATTCCCCCGCGCCCGCAATTTGATAGTCACGGCAAGCGGGGCGATGTCACCGTCGATCGACTGGCCGGCCCTTTCTACTTCCCACAACTGAGAATCTATCAAGATGCGCTCATAGACACCTGGGACCGCGGCGGCCCCTTGCAAGGCCGACAGATCCTCAGACGAGGGGTTGAACTGGCACGGCCGCGGCGAGGAGCAGCGCAGAAGTTTGGCGAGTGTCGAAAACAGCGAGGGGGGCGAGCCGCGACACCCATCGCCACCGCGTCTACTTTCCAGCATCTGAGTCTACGAAGCCTGATGATATGAGCGACGGCCCTGGGTGAAAACTCTGCACACGCTCCCCCAATTCTGAATCAAGTTCAACCTCTGTCGATCGCACAACTGGCGCTTTGGGCCAGAGGGTCATCGGCGGTTGCGGCTGTCTTGAATGCTTCAAGCGCCGTCGCAGCCAGCCAGCGCAAAACCGGGCGCAAGGGGGTTAATCCTGAGTGTGCGCGAACGCCCCGGCTGCGCGGGCGGTGCCAGATGTTGCCCCTCCGCCGCAGGAGATGGGGCAAGCAGCTCGAGCGAAGCAGCTTGAACCCGGGCAGACGTCGGAGTCCACAGGTGGGCTCCGACGTGCACTCGACGTGTCCCGCCAGCTGGCGAGCGCCCCACCGCTGAGTCGAGTGTCGAGTGCACTCGACACGTGGGCGGGCCGTGTCGAGTGCGCTCGACATGGCCCGCCAACCGACGACCCGCCGAGCTCGCGCGCAGCGCGAAGAACGGCCTGCTGCCGGCTCACGCCACGGGCTGCGGCCTCTCGGCGGCCGCAGCAGGCACGACGGCAAAGAGCGCTGCTGCCGGAGCGGAGCTGCGGGCCAGAAGCATGTGCACATCCACTGGCTCTTGAACTTTCTGGGAGGGGGCACCGCAAGGCCGAGGCACAACGGATGTGCATAAACATCTAGCCTCGAGGGGCCAGATCTGCATCCATATCCACTGCGGCTCGGGCGTCTGGTGAAGGGAGCCCCAAACTCCAAAATCTCGGCGCGCCCGAACGGACGGCGACAACACCACGGCAAACCCACGGCAAGCCCTGCGCCCCGCGCCACAGCAGAAGACGCCAGCGACGCAGCACGGCAAACCCGCCGCGCCCGAGGTGGAGTTTGCCCTGGTGGCCGCGGCGCCCGCCCCAAGAGGTAAGCCCGCGCGTCGGCACAGACGGCGCGGCGACATGTGGATATACAGCTTGCCCGCAGAAGCACCAGCGCTCCGCGCGGCCGCCCCCCCCCCCCCCCATCCCACAGCGCAGCACCGGTCGCGCAGCGCGCCCCGCGGCGCCGTGCCATGCGTCGGCGGCCGCGGCGCGCCGCAGCTGCCTCGGCAGCGCCGCCATGCGCTGCCTGGGCGCACGCGGCCGCCCGCGGCGGCTGCCGCGCCGCGCCGCCCGCCGCGGCGCCCGCCGCGTGCCGCGGGCGCCGGGCGGCGGGGAGCTGCGCCGGGAAGCGCCGCCAGCGAGGCGCCCCGCGGCGCTCGAGCCAAGCCACGGCGCGCCGCAGGCCGAGCCGGCGGGGCGGGCCAGGGCGGGCGCGGGTCCGCGGCCCTGGCCGCCGGCGGCCAGCGGGCGGCAGCTCGTCCCCAGATCCCCGGCGTGACGATTGCTTCACAGCGTCGACCCCGGAGGGCTCAAAACCCTTTCCCGGGGACTAGATCATCCTGAACCGTTTCTTGGCGGTCCCGGGGTCCGGCAAGGGCCCCCAGAGGCCGACAATGGCGACAAACCTCCCGTCGTGATTCTTTCATGACTCGACGGGGTCTGCGGACGGCGGCTCTCTCCGACGGTGCCGAGGACCCCCGAATTGGACCCGGGCGGCCCCGTGCAGGCGCCCTGCCGCTTGCGCCGCGCTGGACCCCTGCGGCCCTGCCCTGCCGCCCCGCTTCCGGCCCACCCTGCCGCCCCGCTCGTCGGCTACACGCTAAGAGTGACCCTGGGTAAGAGTGACCTTTGGTGCGCGGCTTTTGGGGGGCCGCGGGGGGCCAAACCCGGGCGCGCAGCCAGCTGCGACTGCTTCGTTTCCGGCCGTCTGGGGACTCACCTGTGCCCGCACCAGAAGTCACTCCAGCGAAAGGTCACTCTTACGTCTAGTCGAGCTCGGGACAACATGCTCCACCACATCCTGTGGATCGCTCCCGCCCCCGCTCTGCACGGGACCCTCCGTTGGGCCCTGGCGGCCCTGTGCGGGCGCTCTGCCCTTACGCCCGGGCGGCGGGGCGAGGCGCTCGCGGCGGGGCGCCCCGGGCCGCGCCGCTCTCGGGACCCCGAGCTGGGGCTGTTGGTTCTGTTCGTCGCAGCTCGGCAGAGGCAATGCGCGCGGGCGCTCGCAGCAGGCGGGGGCGCTGGCCAACGAATTGCCCGGGTGCAGGAGAGGAGGCGAGGGAAGGCAGGACGACCGCGGAGGACAGCAGGGCTGGGGAGCTGGAACACACATGGCCGCTTTCCCGCGAGGAGCACGGGAGCCGAAGGTATGCGCACTGCGGTCTGCGGTCGAGAGCCTTTTGATAGCGTGTCGCCGAGGCGGCCCCCGCGACACGCTGTGCCTTGCGAGCGAATGGCATGACGCTCCGCGGGGCGGGAGGCTCGTGAAAGCTCGGGACGTTTTCGCTGGGGGACCGGGAAGTGGATAGCGTGTCGCGCCGAAGCGCGGTGGGCCAGAACAGGCGGAAAGACACGCTATCCAAAATTTCCCGACCGTACGGGCCTTCATGCGAAACCGAAACAGAGTGCACCTAGTTTGTTGAGCGTCTCACGCTCGTGAATCAGCCCCGCAGACTGTCCACTATGGTGTGCGCGTCGGTGGTTGCGAACCAATGTTCGTGGTCATGTGCGGCTCCGCGAGAAGATGCAGAGGCCACTTTCTGCATGCACATGTGGAGGGGCGCCACGCCTGGCCATACGAGACGCCGACGGCTGAAACAAACATGCGGCCGCGTGTGTATCCAGCTCTCCCACAGGCCAGTCGCATCATGTATATCAAACTTCCCTGTAGCCGGGGACTGTCTGGTAGACCAAGACGTCGGCGTGCCCGAGGTCCACACTGTAGCCGCTGGCCGAGACACTCTCCATCACTCGTGCTCTCCAAGCTGGATCAGGCAATGTCCACGGCCTGCATGCAGAGCCATACGTCCTCAGGACAAAAAGGTTTTCCCGCTGAGGCCAGAACATGGTGCCTTCAGCTCTTGGACCAGCGCGCATGAAATAAATCTTGGCGGGTCCAATTGAGTTGGTGCGGATCCGCATTGTGTTTAGGATTATGTTGCGGTGGATCAAGTTTCCTTCGCGCGGATCTGATTTCGGATGCCGTGGATCTGATGTCTGCCATGTGTTTTTCGCGCGGTTCCGATTTCTACGCTGTTTCAAGTTGAGAACGGTCGATTAACCAGCTGCCAGACGGACATCGGATCCGCGGCATCCAAACCCGCCGCTGTTAAGATTCTACGGGGGAAAGGAACTGTCACAGCCAGGTCGCTTGTTGTTTCACGGGCCCCACACACCCTCCCCGCACGCGGCTCGCACCCAACATGAACACGTCTCTCCTCACCCCCGGCTGCTGCAAGCATCTGGCCCAGACACCGTGGGCCTGGCGGCGCGACGTTCTCTCGCCAACCGCTTGTCGCCGCTGGCGTCTCAAGAGGAAGCCCCATCGTCCTGCGGAAGTCGCCCCCCTGGGCCCCGAAGCTCGTGGTCGCGCTCGGCGCCATCTCCCGAGGTCGCCCTGGGGGTGGCGACGGAGGCAGGCGACGCGCCGTGCGGCCGGCGCCCAGAAGGCGATCCGGCAAGCGTCGTGGTCCCCGGCAGGGCGTGCTCGTGGACCCGTACTGCTATTCACGCGTGTGCGCACGCGTTGGTGTGCGCGAGCGTGGTGTGCCTTCGGCCTGGTCTAGGACACCCAGGCTGCCATGCTTTCGATGCGGCGTGCTTGGCTCGCCTACGCGACTCCAACACGTCTCACATCTTCCTCCTCCTCCTCCTCCTATTCCTCCTCCTCCTCCTCCTCCTCCCCCGTCTTCTTAATCTCCTCGTCTTGGCCTCCTCCTGCTCTTTTTCATCGTTGTCCCCATGCCCCTTCCGCTCACCCTCACCCTGCCCCTGTTCATCCTGCTCACACTCCGACTCTTCCCCTTCCCCATCCCCCTCTCCCTCCTCCCCGCTCGCCCTCACCCTCCCCTCCCCTCCCCGCTTCCCGTCCCTCTTTCCTCCTTCTCCCCATCATGTTCATCCTGCGCCTCCCCCTACTCCTCCTCTTCGTGTTCCTCCCCTCCTTCTCCTCATCATGTTCATCCTGCGCCTCCCCCTACTCCTCCTCTTCGTGTTCCTCCTCCTGCGCCCGCTCTCGCTGCTCCTCGTCAACCTCGGAACCCAAGCGGGGAGCGGGGTCTCTGGAAAGGAAGGGCGTGGATGCTCTCTGGCTGTTGGCGGGAGCCACGGGACCGTGGCCAGCAGCAGGCGCAGGAAGTCGTCGGGCGTTGCGAAGACTCTCCTAAGCCACGGGAGGAGGAGGAGGAGGAGGAGGAGGAGGAGGAGGAGGAGGAGGAGGAGGAGGAGGAGGAGGAGTAGGAGGAAAAGTGCTAGAAAAGCAAACATTGATCGAGCGACTCCCCCCTGTGTTCCTCCTGCCGGCTGGTGGAGCTCGAGCTCAAGCTTCTAGCTGGTCTGTCACCGGGGCTGGAGCCATTATGCTACAGCTGCTTCCCATGATGCCACAGCTGCTCCGCCTCCTTCTCCTCCTCCTCCTCCTCCTCCTCCTCCTCCACCTCTTGCATCAATGCGTCTCTTCCTGATAAGCCCGCCACCGTGCCACCAGCACGTAGTGGAGTGCCTCACAGCTCACGCACACGTAGGGCTATTGGAGCGAGAGGCTTCCGCTCACGAGAGGCCACGGCATCTTCTCCTTCCGGCCTGGGTGGGAGCCCCGCGGGGCCCCGCTGGGGGGCTCGTGCGGCCTCGTGGGGGTCGGAGGGGGAGGTTCACGAGGGACCACCGAAGTCGGGAGCCCAGCATCCCTCACTGGGCGTTAGACGAATTCTAGACGAATTCTAGGCGTAGAAAGCCAGTGCAAACAAGCTGTGTAGGGAGATGTGCTCTCGCTGACGCACCACACATGGGGCGATTTCGGAAGCCCTGAACCCAAACAAATGTTCATCTCTTGGGGCACATCTTTTGCTTCCGCCGCCTTCCGCCGAGCTTCCGCTGGCGTCCGCCAGCGGAGGCGGCCTCGCTTTACTTCCGCCGACCTTCTGCCACGCGGCGGAGGAGATGACAACTCCTTCTACCCTCTCAGGCAAGGCCCTTTCTGGAACGCCTCGCATGTTGATAGATGGTGTGCCACTGGCACGGGCGGAGGGCGACCCCCGCGCAGACTCAGAGTGATGCGTCCCAGCATACGGTCACATCCTGCTGCGATCGTTGATTTCCATGCCGAGACACCCAGGGCCCTCGCCGTGGCTGTCCACGGGAGACTCACCTCTCCGTCGGCTGCTCGCCGTCGTAGTGGACAAATGACACTTGCATTGACGCGTTGGAGGAGGACGAGGAGGAGAAGGAGGAGGAGGAGGAGGAGGAGAAGGAGGAGGAGAGTGCACTGCAAGAACGGTGGTGTGCCGGGCCTGTTCCCACATCCGACTGCTCCTTCCCTGCCCGGTGGAAGACAACCGCATGCACGTTCTCATATATGCCACCCTCGCTAAACAGAAACCGCTTGATGGAAGTAGGCACGGGGCAATGTTTTTTGTTTTTTTTGCCGCGGGCGGAAGCGCGGGAAGCGAAATCTGGCGGGGCATTCCTTCACAACGCTCTCTGGGCCGTCACATCAGATTAAAGAAGTGCTGCGGCGACATCTGTCGATTACCCTACAGGGTCAAGTAGGCACGGGGCATGTGGTGTCAGTTGGATCGCTGCGAGGTCGCACTGAGGCCATGTGGTCCGCGGCCTCCTGTGTCCGCCTTCCAGTGCTGGCGGGGGTGGCCGCCGAACGCAACTCCTCGGGCCAGCTTTGGCTGGGGCCTGGGGGGCGGGGCGGGCAGGACGGAAGCTCCCCAACCAGTTATTCTCTGATTCGGAGAACCCCAGACCCCGAACTTTTCATGACGTCGACCCCCAGCTGTCGGGACCCATTCCCTGGGACCAGTTTTTAGTCCTGAGTCGTTTTTTGACGGTCCCGAGGGCCGGTGGCCAAAAATAATGAAAAACCTCCCGTCGTGATTTTTTCATAACTCGAGGGGGTCTGGGACTGTAGGTGCTGTGCAGGGGCACGTTCACAGCGTCACAACCCTGTGATGCGGATCGAGCTGTCGCAGCCTCTCCGGAAGACCCCGCAAGCAGACAGCCACCTCGCTGGACAGCCCCCCCCCGCAAGATCCCAAAGTTGCGGAAGAAGCAGTACACGCCCAACATGCAACCCATGTTAAACAGGTAAGGCGCCCAAGTCACCCAGCCAAGCCTCCCCCTCGCCCTGTTTTGTCACGGTCGCTCCGATGCGCTCCGAAGGCATACCAACAAGTGCAATGTGTGGCGACCTGCGCTACGCACTGAAAGCAGGCACACAGAAGGGATGGTGACGGGAAGCAAGGTGGAAGTCAGCCGGAGTGGAGAGTGGATGTTAGAGGGCGCAACGGGTTCCAAGGATCACGCGTACAAGGAAGCACGCGACGATTCGCATAACAAGTTCATCAATCGGGCAGACTATGCTATACGCAAGGCCTCGCGGCAGCCTCCTCAACACGCCAGTTTTGCAAAAGCAGACGGTCTCGACATGTACGGGCAGGCACAGAAGACCAGGTCCAGCAGCGTAAGCAGCAATGTGAGCAAGCGAAAGCTGCACGGGCGTTGTCATGTGTGAGGGGCAGCGAAATTGGGGGGACTGGCATATGGGGGGGGGCACATCGACCTGGAAGCGGCGATACATCGCCGATAGATCGGCGATAGGCCCCCGATCGTGAATGCGCACGTTCCTGGGCAGCTTGGGGCTATCGGGCCACCATCGGCGATCAATGGGCGACTGGGGGTCGATGATTTCCCCCCCCCTGTGCCCATCCCCCCCTATCGTTGCCCCCGAATGCGGGGTTCCAGGCCTCGGATATAGCGAACCTACCAGGGGCGCTCGGGTGCAGTCGTGCCTCCATGCGGGGTTCGGGGCCGGCGTGTCTGCCTGGCAGGCCTCACCGTCAGCTGCGAAGTGTGCTCGAGGGTACTGCTGCTCTCAGGTTGCAGCACACACAGCAGCAATAATCAAACGATGCACGGCCATCCCAACAAGCGCCTCCCCCTCCGACCAGGCAGAGTGCCTGAACACAAGGGTGATGTTTGCACCAGTCACAACCCAGACGAAGCCCACGGCACCAAACGCAAACAGGTCCGTCAGGTCGGAGCCGCTCTCGCCTGCCAGTCGCACACCAAACAAATCATAGGTATCTTCAGGCTGAGCGCCAAACGCCCGTACGAGCAAGAAGCACTGGTTGGGCGTCGCAGTGAAGACGCGCCGCGGCGAGGCATGCTGAGAAGAATGCCCGTATCGTCTGCAACAAGTGCGAGTCACGCGCGCGCGGGCTGGGGGCCACAGGGATTGGCATGGAGAGCACGCAGCAAAATCGAGAAGAACGACAATGTCAAGAAGAACAAGGGATGGGGAGAGGACCTGACAGACCCCTGCCACTTACTAAGCTGCGATACTTCGAATCTCCCGACTGTTGATCCCTTCCAAGATCAACGGTCGGCCTGGACAGCTACGACGATACAACAACGATGGAGTCCTGGCCCAGACCCCAAAACTTCGTAGTCAGAATCAAATACTTGCGCTAGTAACTGGAATGACAATTCAAGAAGAACGGGGCCTTTCAAGCAACGGCGCGCCTCGGCCACGAATAGGTTCCCCCACGTAGATTGAAGGAACGGCCCGAAAACCAGAGCCCCTCCACGAGCCAAAAGGGGACCTTATTCCAGCGTCGTGACTGCATCGCCTTGAAAGCCAACAGAAACTAAACACCCCCCGAACAAATAAACTAGATTGGACAACTGATACGGGGTACTACTATGTAGGGTAACGGTAACGCTTGGGCGGGGTGGGGCCACGGTGGGGCACGTCGGGGCGGCGATGCGCTGCGATTGGCACAGTATACGCACGAACGCAAGCACGTGGGGGGGGGGTCCAGGCCCCCTGAGTACGATCGCTACCGTTACCAAAGGGGGGAGGGGCGGGTAACGCTTGTTTCGCGTCAGAGGGTAAGCGAAACCACCTCGCTCAACCATGCCCCCGACCGTGTCCCCCATAAAGAAATGATCATGCGCACGACGCTTGCAGGTAACACCCGCCAGCATTGGAAGGAGAAACCCAACAATGCTCGCAGAATGGCCCCGTGGCGGACTCGAAACCCCGATCCTCGTTCTTCGGTCCTCGCACCTCGACGCCCGAACCGCGAGGGTTGATCCTCGGTCCTCGATCCGCGATGGTCGATCCTCGATCATCGATGCATTAAGCCAGGCAGATCCCCTAAAGTTCTAAGGTGGCTCTTATGACCCCGAGATGAAGTCCAGATGTCTCAACAATAACACCGCATCCCCAATAGTGATACCTCGATGGGATCAATGCTCTTCCAATGTGAACCCCATTACCCCAACATGATCCCAAGAGGACCGCGTGGCGGTAGCATGACCCGAAAACGAGACCAACATGACCCCAATAGGATTCCAGAATGACCTCAAGATGGCACCAACATGACCCAGTACCTGCAGATGGCCCCACCATGATCCAAATGCGACTCCCTGGGGCCGTGTCCTTGGCTCAAGACGCTTCCAAGGCGAATTCATGGCCTCAATAATTTCAGGAACACCTTATGACCCCACGATGACGCCGAGACGATCCCAAGATGACTCCATGGCCCCAAAAACGACCCTAAGACCACCAGATGCTCCCCCCTTCAAACCGCCCAATGATCCCTAGGTGACTTCCAGAGCGCCCTCATCTGACGTCATGGCCCCAGGATGGCCCCAGGTGATGCCACGCCCAAACACATGACCTCAAAGGCTACCCTGAAGCACTCCCATGAATCCATCCGGCCCCGAAGATCTCCTCATGGCGCTACTGCGACCGCAGGTGCATCGCGAGATGGCCCATAGACCCATGCCTACTTCAAGACAGCAGTTGATCGGCAACGTGACGGAGCGCTGCTGGCCCCAGTGGCAGGCCATAACGAAACGGTAGCGGCCCGAAGAACAACCGAAGGACGGGCAAAAAGGGCCCCGAGCCCCCTCCGAAGCCAGCGCTGTCCTGCTTCCAGCATTGGGGCTGCACGTGGGCCTGCCGTAATTATTCGCTGGGTCGGCGGGCGAGTCGCACCAGGATGGGACAGCCATCCGGGTGGCAGGAGCATGCTGGGGGAACGTTGGCGGCGCACGGCATGCGAACGGCGTCGGTCGGACCTGCATCCTGTACAGGAGTTCGCATGCACGCGCGGCGACCTGCACTGCTGCCGATCTGTCGAAATCAGCATGCAGGAAGGAGCGCGCCCGTGGAACGCTCTTTACTACACGGGGGGCCCCAGCTTCAAGCTGCCCCCCCCCCCCTCCCTTGGAAAAGGGGGGGGCTCTTCCGAAGCTGCCCTCCCCCCCACCACCTGCGTGCATTTGTTCAACTGAGGAGGGGGTACCTCTGAATAAGGGGGGCGGGGGGCTAGGAAGCTACCCCCCCCCTCCCCCCCTCTTCCACTTTCGGGGCTCGGGGTCAGCCTGGGCTCCTCCCCTCTCCAAAGGAAGGTGGGGCCCTCCCCCCCTTGCTTGGATTTTTCTATACGTTGGGGGCCCCTGGCCAGAGAAGGGAGGGGAGCTTGCAAGCTCCCCTCCCCTCCCCTCCTCTTCGGGGCCCGTGGCAAGCCAGGGCTCCCCTTTTTTCCAGGGGGGGGCTTCCAAAGCTCCATCCCCACTCCTCTCCTGCTGTTGGCATTTCCAGCTGGAGGGCCCTTGCTGAAGGGGTGGCCGGCACCGTTTTGGCTTTCGGTGCCCTTTTGTTGGTGCTCGGCGACGTTTCGGTGGTCGGCGCTCTTTTGCCTTTCAGCGCCCTTTTGCTGTTCGGCGCCCTTTCGAAGTTCAGCGGCTCTGTGGTTTTCGGCGCCATGTTGGGTGTCGGCGCCATTTGATTTTCGGCGCCCTTTTGGTTTTCGGCGCCGCTATGGTTTTCGGCTTTTTTTGGGGGGGGGTTCGGCGGCATCTTTGGTGTTCGGCGCTCCTTTGGTCTTCGGCGCATTTTTGGATATTCGGCGCCTCTTCTCGTGTTCGGCGCTCCTTTGGTTTTCGGCGCCCCTTTAGGTTTCGGCACATCGCTGGTTTTAACAATTTGTCGGTTGGTGGTGCAGCTGGTACTTTTGGTAGTCGGCGCCCGTTTTGTTTTCGGCGTTCCTGTCGTTTTCAGCGCTCCATTGGGTTTTGAACCCATATAGGTTTTCCAAGCAACTTCGGTCTTCGGCGCCCTCTCGGTTTTCGGCGCCCCTCCGGTTTTCGGCGCCTCTGGTTTTCGGCGCCCTGTCGGTCTTCGGTGGCCCTCTGGTTTTCGGCGCTCTGCTGGTTTTCGGCGCCCTTTTTGGTTTTCGATGCCCCGTCCTTGCGTCGAAATAGGGGGCGGGGCTCCCAAAAGCTCCCCCCCCTCTTAGCCAAAAGGGAGGGGAGGGGGGAGCTCCCGGCAGAGGGGGGGGGTCCAAAGGGAGGGGGCGGGGTAGCGAAGCCCCTCCCTCTTGGACAAAAAGGGGGGATGGGAAGGGGAGAGCATCCGAAGTGGGGGAGGGGGCAAAGGGGGGGGTAGCTTCCCAAAGGCGCACAAAAGGGGGAAAGCGGGGGAGGGGGGGGGCTGGGCAGAGGAGGTCCAAACGGGGGGGAAGCTAACTAAGCCTCCCTCGCCTTTTGGAGAAGAGGGGGGAGGATGGGGGGGAGGCTTCCAGAGCGCGCAGGGGAGGTCCAAAGGGGGCGGGAGCTAACTAAGCCCCCCTCCCCTTTTGGAAAGGGGGGGAGGGGGGGAGCCTCCGGAGCGCGAAAGGGCGGGGAGGCGGGGGGAGTAGCCGGAAGTTTCCTGAGGGTGGGAAACACAGGGGCGGGATAGGGGGGGGTCGTCGGGCAGGGGAGGTCCAAAGGGGGTGGGTGGGCAGCTGATGGGGGGACCTCCCCCCCCTGTGGGGCTGTTCCACGGGTGCGCTCCTTCCTGCAAGACGCACGGCAACTACGGACAACAGTGGCGGGGCGCGAGGTCGGCGGCAGCCTGCGACTGTCTACAAAATGATTCGGCGAAGCCCATGGGATGGAAGGCGGAAGGGGGGAGGAGGGGGGGGAGACCTGTCTCGCTCGATCGAGATGTGAGACCTCGAGCCTCAAGCGTGGAACCAAGATCTTCGGGTCAGGTCGATGTACTTCGTAGGAGAACGCCGTCTGGGCTTTTTGGGGGCGCTTTTGGGCCGTCCTGAGGCCTTCTTGAGCCGTCTTCGAGAGCTGGGGCCCTCCAGAGGTCTTCTGAAGCCATCTAAGGCTTTCTTGGGGGCCTCCAATGGCCTTCTTAGGGGTCTCCCATGGCTATCGTGGGTCTCTCTTGGGAGCCTTCTGGGGGCATCTTGGGCTTCTTGTGGCCAGTCTCGGGGCTCTCTGGGGCCCTCTTGGGCCACCTTCAAGCCCTCTGGGGGGCCTCTTTGGCCGTCTGGGGGCGATATCGGGAGCCCGTCGGGCCGTCTTGGACGCTGCGAAGACCCCACAAGCGGATATGCAATATACATCTTCCGACGGTAATGGGACGATGTTTGCTTCTTCGGGGCTCTGTTCGCGCCCTCCTGGAACGTCTTGGGGGCCTCTTCGGTCGTCTTCAGACCATCGAGGTTACTCTTGGAGCGCTCTTGTGCTGTCTTGGGTCTCTCGCGCCTTTCCGATGACACTTCTGATCGCATTGAGCCTGCTCGCGAGGCTCAGCAAGGCGCCCTGGGAGGCCCGGAAAGGGCCAGCGGACCTTTGCCAAAGGCGTCCAGGGGGCCGCCGAGACGTCCGAAAGGGCGTCTGGGGCGTCCTGGGGGGGGGTGCTCACGCCTATCTGTCATCCCCGTAAACCATGGCGAGACAACCACGGGACAACCCACAGGACACCCTCCACGACAACCAGCAGGGCAACCCGCAGGACAACCAGTGGGCATCCACTGGGCAAGCACAAGACAACCACGGGACGCCCAAGGGACAAGGACGGGGCAACGGCGAGACGACTCCGCCACAACCGCGGGACGCCCACGGGGCGGGGGACAGCCGCGCACCGCCGCGGAACAGCCACCCGGAGGGACCGCACACGGCACCGCCGCGGGACCATCATCTCGCCATCGCTCGGACGTCCATTCCCTGTGTTCTTTCCGGTTTCGTGCGTGTTTTTTTTTTTTTCTCCAAATGACCAAGGATGCTCCTCGAGGGCCCTCGCCGAAGGAAAAAACGCACACGTCCGAGCGATGCCAAGTCGTGTGACGGCCGCGGGACAACAACGGGACGACCGCCGGCCACCCGCGCCCCCCCGAAAGGGGCCGCACACCGAGGAGGCCCCTCCGGCGCGGGGCCGCCGCGTGTGGCCCATGCCTCTCTGGGCCGCCGTCCTCGCCGCTGCCGCCAGCGGGGGTGCGCCCACCGCGCGCGCGCGCCGAGGGCCGTAGGGGGCCAGGTCTGCATATGATGCTCTCTCCTCCTCCTCCTCCTCCTCCTCCTCCTCCTCCTCCTCCTCCTCCTCCTCCTCCTCCGCCTCCTCCTGCCTTTGCCTCCTCCTCCTTCTCCTCCTCCTCTCCTTCTCCTCTTCCTCCTCCTCCTCCCTCCTTCTCCTCATCATCGTCCTCCTCCTCCTCCTCCGCCTACTCCTCCCTTGTCCTCCTCCTCCTCCTCCTCCTCCTCCTCCTCCTCCTCCTCCTCCCTCCTCATCATCATTGTCCTCCTCCTCCTCCTCCTTCTCCTCCTCCTCGTCCTCCTCTTCCTCCTCTGGCTGGACCGCCTGCTCTGCCGGCCATGGCGTATCGCAGGATCGCGCAGAGCAGGAGCGCCTCGGCCAGGGGGGGCTCGGGGGGTTCGAGATCTCCATGTCTTGATGAGTATTTTCACATGTACACATATTCATGCAGGTCTCTTCTTCCCTATACACATATCTACATACACAATCAAGTCCGTCTTATGCTCTCTGATACGAAGACTCTATATGTACGATATACCCTCTCACTCTGACCCCCGATCCATTTTCCAGTATCGTATATAACAATGCTCGCAAACTCTCTCTCCTCTTTTGGTGTTCTTTCTTTCTTTCTTTCTCTCTCTCTCTGTCTCCAACCCTTCTGGTCAACTCTGCGCGCAACTCTCTGGCCCTCGTACTCTATATGATCAGAGATCCTGGCGCTTGGCGACAACCGAGACACCCAGAACCCCAAAACCTCACTCTGCCATGAAATCCAGAAAGGGGGAACCAGGAACCCGGGAACCCAGCCAGCAGAAACCCCCGGAACCAGGAACCGGGAATTCGGGAACGGAGCACGAAGTCGGCCCAGAACCCGAAACCAGGAGCACCAGGAACCCGTGAACCCAGCCGCCTGCAACCACTGGCCCCGGACTTTCGCCAGATCCTTCAGCAGGAGAGCCCAGTATCGAATCGACAAATCGGATCGGCGATCGAAATGGATCGGATCGGCGGAAATCGGCAGCCGAGTCGGGAAAAGTCGAATCGGCGGAAATCGGCAGGCTATTTTGCCTCCATAAAGGAATCGGATTCCGAATCGAAATCCGAAGCCGAATCGAATCGGAATCGGAAGCCATCGAAATCGAATCGAATCGAATCGGAAGCATCGAGACGAGCCCTGCTTCAGTATCTCCGAGGACCTCCTTCAGTGAAAGCGCTGATTGGGGAATGCGCAACGAGCGCATCAGAAAGAGTGAAGAACGTGAGCTGTCGGAGGTGCGCACGGGTTTTTCTCGGGTCGGCACTGGGACCCCCCCCCCCCGCCTTCCCCGAGGCCGTTGCGTCGGCCCCCGTGGACCAGCGGGAGGGGGGGCAAGGAGGCCTCTGGGGTCAGGTCGGGCATGTCCCCTTACAGGGGGGATTTTGGACGAAAAGCAAAAAGGTACCCCAAAAGCACGAATGACAAATTCAGAGATGCAAAAAAACGTCCCCAAACTATTTCTTTACTGTTTTTGAACTTTCCCCCTGTAGGGACAGGCCCGATTTCACTCTGGGGTCTGAGTGGCCGCCCGTGGCGTCCTCCGCGCATCCTCGACGTACCGCCCCAGCACAGACCTCCTCGAGGGGGCAAGAAAGGGCCGACCTCTTGCCTCCCTGGGGGGACCAGGGCGGAACCGACAAACCGATGATTGACAAAGCCCCCTCTAGAACTGCGCCGTTTAGCGAAGGCTGCAAGGGCACTCCACGGGTGAGCGCGGCACTTCGTTCTGGGTGCACCCGGGCAGAATCACTGATCGACGTACAAAAAAAAAACCGGGTGTATCCGGCGAAACGCGCGTCGATTAGCGAAACCGACTGGGGACTGCACCCGTACACTGCACACTCGTATGCCAGTGTCGAATGAACCCATGGGTCGGTGGGCGGTCTCCCAATGCAAAAGGAGCCTGGCTTCGCTCACCACCGAGCCCAAGAAGTCACGGCGGACCTCCAGACGCCTAGTTCGTCCAGCGGGTGTCGAGGGGGCCCGTGGGGCACACGTCACGGCGAGAGCTCGTTGCGTCGGCAACGCCAAGGCGAATCGCGGCTCCCCCACAAGGAGGGCCGCCATCTCCTCCTGAGGAGAATTGGGGGCGTCCAAGAGGGGTGGGGTCGCAAATCAGGGCCAGCGGCACGTGCGCGGCCCAAGGGAGGACCGGGGACGCATTGGAATCAGAAGAGGCGCCATGAAATCTGGGAACATATCATGGCCTCCGCCATGATATCCACCCCGTGGTCAGTCACTCCCTTTGGACGCCCGAAATGGGTACCGAAAGAATGGGTACAATGCCCAACAGCAACTGTTGTCCCAAACCAACAGCAGCCGCTGTTGGGCAGGCGGCCTCCTGTCTCGAATGGACACGGGCCGCGGCGGCGTGGACAGCGAACCCTGTTCAAAATGAACTAGATCCGCTGTTGGGCATTGTACCCATTGTTTCCGTGCCCGTCTCGTTCGTGCAGATCCCCTCTCGGCCGCCCCCGAGGAGGGGGAGAGGCCCACACTCTGGACGAAGTGGTTCTGTCCAGGACGGCGTACGATGTCGTCCACGCGCGGCCTCTCCGAGGCCTGTGCCTGGGCTCCCCGGGGCTCCAAATGGATCCGGGACGACGGGCTGTCCCTGGGGAAGGCGTCGAGACCTCTAGGCACGTACACACACATATATGGATATAAACACATATATATATATATATATATTCTATTTATGTGTATATATATATATATATATGGAGAGAGAGAGAGAGAGGGAGAGAGAGAGAGAGACACAGAGCGCAGCCCCCCCAGCTACCAGTAATGTTGAATCGGCCGTTGAGCTCTTCGTTCGTACTCTTCCTGATCATCCGCCCTCTTTTCATCCGCGCCCGCCCATCCACTTTTCCTATTCGTCATTTCTCCGCGGTTCTCTCGCGAATTCGCTGGATCTGCGCAATTCTACTACGAGTCTCATGCGACTCCAGTAGGAAACACACTGGAAGCGGCTGGATCGGGGATCCGGTCCATCCCGATGAGATTTGAAGTAAATCCCAATAGGAATCTAATTGGAATCGGCTGGATATGGGACCTGCCCCTTTCCAATTCGACTCTCATTCGATTCTAATCGGAATCTCCTTGGAATCAACTAGATCTGGGATCTGTGCAAATCTGATTCGATTAGAATTCGATTCCCGTCCACATCACCTTGGAATCAGTTGGATCTGGGACCCGCTCCATCCCAATTAAATTCAAATTGAATGACAGAAGGGATCGTATTGGAATCAACTGGGTCTGGGGTCTGTTCAGTCGTACTAAGATTTGAATTTGATTTCAACTGGAATACCACTTGGACTCAGCTGGATCTGGGATGTGCTCCAGTGCAAATCCAATAGGAATCAAATTTGAATCAGCTGGGTACGGGGTCTGCCTCATCTCAATTCGATTTCTAATTCGATTACACTAGGAATATAATTGGAACCAGCTGGATCTGACATCTGCGCATTCTAATGTGCTTCTACTTAGATTTCACTGCAAATCGCATTGGAAGCAGAAAAATCTAGGATCCGCTCCACCCGAACTAGATTCGAAATAACCCACTGGTGATCCAATTCGAATCAGCTGGATTCGGGATTTGTTTACTTCTAATACGATTTGGCTGAGATTTCACAAGGAACCCCAAGTGGACGCAGCTGGATCTTGGATGAGTCCAATCACAATTAACTTCGAATTGAATTCCAATGGGTATCCAATTAAGAACAAGTGAATCTGGGATCTCCTCAACTATAGCTGTGCTTGATCCGGTTCCAACCAGAATGTAATCTGAATTTGCTGAATCTGGGGTCCGCTCCACCTCAATTCGGTTTCACTTGTACCACACGACGAATATAATTCTAACCAGCTGGATCTGGAATATGCCAATCTCTCTCGCTCTCTCTACTTCTTTCTCTCTCTCTCTCTCTCGTTCAGTAGATCTCTCCCTCTCCCAGGCAACCAACACAACCCCTGTGAGAACACAAGGTGTGCGGTGTCAGGGGTGCGGAAACCTCGATGCGTGTTCACTAGCTTTTGTTTTGGCTTCGGGGGATTTCCCTTCGTCCAGCGAAAACCTAACCCAGCGAGCCTCCCAGGAGCGACCCCCAGAATCCGCAACCCCCCAAACACTGAATGAAAACGCATGGTTTCGTCATTTCTCATCCCAGATACCCAACAGAACTCCATATGAAAACGCATGGCTTCCGCACCCCTGACATGGTTTCATTGGGGTGGTTCGGGTTTCTGAGATGAGAAGTGATGGAACCATGTGCTTCCACGTTTTGAATTCTTGGGATCCGAGCTCCTGAGAGGGCTCCCGGGTTCGCTGGACAGAAGAAAATTCGCACAACCGCGAACACATACAACACATTTCTCCTCCGGGACATCCAACAAATCCGAATAAAAAACGCCGGGTTTCCGCACCCCTGCCATCGCAAACCTTGTGGTGTCACAGGGATTGCGTTAGATGTCCGGGAGAGAGAAAGAGAGAGAGAGAGAGAGAGAGATATAACAAAACAGAACTTAAAGATATATAGAGAGAGAGAGGAAAACAAAAAGAGAGAACGAGAGCGAGAGAGAGAGAGAAAAAGAGAGAGAGACAGAGAGAGAGACAACAAACAACATATATATATATATAGAGAGAAAGAGAACGAGAGAGAGAGAAGACAAAAACAACAAAGAGAGAGAGAGAGAGAGAGACAGAGAGAGAGAGAGAGAGAACGAGAGAGCGAGAGAAAACAACATAACCCCGACGGTGGGACCCCACATGAGCATCCTCTCGGCTAATCTGGAAATAACCCTTATCGTCGTGCTCGTGATCCGTGAGGCGCCCTTGCTGCCTTCTCTGCGTCGTGTTCCTTCTCGCCCTGCGCGCGTCGGTGTTCCTCGGCGCCGTCGCCGCCCGGGCCAGCACGGGCGCATCAGCAGCCCACTGCTTCCGCTGGAGATTGTTCCTTTTCGCTTTCATGCAACAAGCACCAATGATATGATTGCGAGTTCTGGTGACGGCCATTCTGCGGGGGGGGGGGAGGGTAACAAGAGCGCTTGGGCGGGGCTGGGGGGGGGGTCCAATCATTACCGCCACGCGGGAAGAAAGTGGGGTAACGACCTTTACGCTCCAAAGGAACAAAAATCACAAGACAGCTCGCCGCTTGGGCCCCACCGCCAGTCCAAACGGCGAGCATAAATCGGGCGTAGCCACGCGCGCATTCGAATGCCCACACTTCGTCCTCGTACTTCTCGTATTCATTCCCGTTCTCCTCCCCATCCTGATCGTCGTCGTCGTCCTTCTCCTCCTCATCTTCCTCGTCTTCCTCGTCTTCATCCTGCTCCAGCTCGGTTTCCTGTCGGTTGCGCCATAGGTTCCGCCCTCGGCGGCTGAGAATACAACCGTCTACTATCGGTTGCGCCATGGGTTGCGCCCTCGGCGGCCGAGAATACAACCGTCTAGTATCGGTTGCGCCCTAGGTTGCGCCCTTGGCGGTCGAGAATAAAACCGTCTCCAGTCGGTTGCGCCGTAGGTTGCGCCCTCGGCGGTCGAGAATAAAACCGTCTCCTATCGGTTGCGCCATAGATTGTGCCGTCGGCGGTCGAGAATAAAACCGTCTCCTATCGGTTGCGCCATAGGTTGCGCCGTCGGCGGTTGAGAATAAAAGCGTCTCCTATCGGTTGCGCCCTAGGTTGCGCCCTCGGCGGCCGAGAATAAAACCGTCTCCGATCGGTTGCGCTATAGGTTGCGCCCTTGGCGGCCGAGAATTAAACCGTCGCGTAACAGGTGCGACCAGTCTGCTTAGTTAAGTTCAGTTCGGTTCAGTTCAGTTTACCTCGCGAAAAAATCGTGCTACGCCCGAGAATAATCTCGTTCAGCCCTGTCCCCGCCCAAACCCCACGCGTTTCCCCTATCAAAGGGTCAGAGGCATGGCGCTCGGCGGTCACCGCCGCCAGCACTGGAAGGGGAACCGGGGGCTGGCAGCGTCACCGTGGTGGCCTTGTGACCCCGATCCTCCATCTTCGACCCCCCATCCTCAATCGTCGATCCTCGATCCTCGCACCTCTATGCTTGAACCGCGATGCTCGACCCACGGTCCGCGATCCGCGATGGCCACTCCTTGATCGTCCATGCATAAGCCGAGACAAACCCAAGAACAAACAGTGGCTCCCATGCCTCCGAGATGACTCTAAAACAACCCCACGACCCCAGTATTGAGCCCCGAACCCGGACAGAGCCCAGAAAATTCTAAGGCGGCCCCGATGACACCCCAAGATGACTCCAACACAACCCCGCGACCCCCAATCTCCCACGATGAAATCAGTATTATTGTCAGGTGACCTCCATGACCCCAAGACTGCCCAGACCCCAACGCGATCCCAGCATGACCTCCACATGGCAACAAACTGATATGTCTCAAAATGGTGTCGGGAGAATCCCAAGATGGCACCGGTGCATGAAACCCAGACCGTGCCCCCTGAACAGAAACAGTCCCCAGACCTCCACGCCTGCCGCCCTGCCCGCGGCGCAAACGTGGCGCCGAGGAGGGCCGCGCGCCTGCGACAGGGCGGCCAGGAGCCACGCGGCGGAGTGCGCCACGCCGAAGAGGCTCGGCGCGTACTCCCTTGGGGGCGGGGCGCGGCCGCCGCCGCCGCGCCGCCGCCGCGGGGGGGTGCGCACCGGCCCCGCGGCGCAGCCGACGGGCCACAGCCAGCACCTTCGGCCTTCTGGGGGTGCACCTGCAGGAGATCGCTTCTTTGATGTTTCGGCGATGGCGAGGAGGAGAAGGAGAAGGAGGAGGAGGAGGAGGAGGAGGAGGAGGAGGAGGAGGAGGAGGAGGGGGAGGAGGAGGAGGAGGAGGAGGAGGAGGGGGAGGAGGAGGAGGAGGAGGAGGAGGAGAAGGAGGAAGGGGGCCGGGTCCTCTGGTGTGGGGGGCGGGGGGGGCGGCGAAGTACCAGCCAGCCGATGGCCGAAGCTGTTCGCTCCGGGCAGCCCCGCGCCTGCCCCCGCGCGCGCCGGCACTGCGCGCCCCCCCCTCGGGCCGCTTTTGTGTCCACCGGCAAGGGCAGGCAGTGCAGCGGGGAGCGGGGGGGCGGACGGGCCCGATCATAGGGGGAAAACAAACCTACCTCGCTTTTGACCACCCCCGCTTCCAAGAGTTACCAAGCGATACCAAACTACGGCCTGTACTGGTCAGGCCGCTTGACGAGGAGGCGCGTGGTATGATTTGGTTTTGCCTGGAAGCGAAAGCAGAGTAGGTAATTCACGCTCTGAGATAACCTGGATGATTGCCGGACCCTTAAAGCAAATGTCCAGACACGGTGCTGCCATCAAGTCGGGCATGTCCCTCCACAGGAGGGGTGATCAAGAATAGGCGAAACAATATGGGGACGAAGTGTCGTTTACCTTTTTGCATGATGTTTGATGTTTTCTGTCTGTTTCTGATTTTTCTTCCTCCGAGGCCCTCCTGTACATGCCCGATCGAATGCTGCTCTACCGTCAGGACCAGTGAGAATGCGACGGAGGGGCGCTTCTGGCCACAGCGGGCCCACGCCTGGGACTCAGGGGGGGTGCCCGAAAACCGGAGCCCCCTCCCGAGTCCAACGCGGCCCTGGCTTCAGCGACTTGGCTGCAATCCCCTTGTTTTTTTTTCCGAGAAGGACCAATCGGCGGTGGGCAAACCTCCCTTTAGCAAGCCTCCCTTTAGTAAAGACGGCCTAGGACCGAAACCGACGGACCTGGACCCGCAAAAACGACGGCCGCGACGCCCTCTCGCGAACCGAAAACGGCCGATTCGCTAATCGACGTGTCAGGGTAGGAGGTCGATCAACCTCCAAAAAGCTCCACGAAGCTACCCCAGAACACCATTGCACGATAAAGCAGAATGCACAGAATGCAAAGCAGAAGCAGCCGTAACCCGCTGGGGCAGACCCTTGTGGTCCGCGGGCGCCAGCGGCCATGCGTCGGTCGAGCAAGAGGCGGGGCGCACCGAAGCAAATGGAGGCACGAACCGTGGGGGGGCCGGAGGGGCGGAAAAGAGGGCGGTCGGTCAGAACATGCCGCTCCTCGCGGGCGTGCCCGAACCCTGCCGCCACGCGGAGTCCACATAAGGGAAGAGGCCGCGGGCGGGAACCGCAGTTAGTGACTACCTACCAGACCACCCCAACCCAACCCGAAGACCCGAATTTCGGGTTGGGGGGGGTAAGGGTTCCACATGTGTTTTTTCGATGTTTCCCGACCCCCCCCCACTGGAAATAGAGGGTAAATCTGAGCCTTCGGGTTGGGTTGGGGTGGTTTGGTGGGTGGTGAGTTAGGGGAACAAAACGTGACATAAACATAAAAACTCTGAGGTCAGCGCGGATTGCTCGGATCGGCGCTGGGGCCCCCCGGCGGCGCCTCCGGCGCCGCCCCTGGCGCGCTCCGCGCGCCAGGGAGGGGGTTCCAGCGCCGATCCGGGAAATCCGCGCGGACGTCCGAATTTTTATGTTTATGCCACTCTTTGTTCCCCTAGCAGTAGGACTGGAGGCCCGTGGGCGGCGGGGTCCCGGACGAAGTGAACGAAGTGAACGGACGAACGAAGTGAACCCCACCCTCCCCCTCCGAAATCGTGGGGGGTAGGGGTAGGGTTCGCATGTGGCCCCCTACAGGAGCAACCCCTCCCTGGAGCGCAGCACCCCTCTGGCGAGAACCACCCGGCACCAGACTCGGCGGGCACAGGCTCCGACCACCGGCAGCCACAGCCGGCCCCCTTCGGCCGTCGGGGGGTGGACATCTAGCCATCAGCATTCCTCACGCGGCCGCGTCTCTCTCTCGGGGGGTGTAGTTGAACATCGTTCAAGCCGACACTTGTCCCCATGGGCGTGCCCTGGGCCCCACTGGCCGATTTGCCCCACCAGAGGGGGGTATAAAGCGTTCCGTCGGGTTGCCATGGGTATATCCCCAACTGGGTTGCTGAGATGGTGAGGGTCTGGATAGGGATGGGGATAGGGATAGGGATAGGGATAGGGGTCGATAAAACGATGCTGAGCAGTGGCCGAATCTGTGCCAGAAAAAAGCTGTCTGAGTGCGACGGAACTGGCGCCCGAATCCATCCGAACGCGCGGAGGGTTGGACGCCCGAACCATCTGGGATAAATGCGGTCTGTGGTAACTCCGATTTGGGCGCGGATCTGTAGCTACCCCTGACTGCCCCCCGCCCCAGAGATTCGGAGCTCTGACCACCCCCTGGTTCCCTCCTCCTCAACCGCCCTCTTCTTTCTCTTGCCGGTTCGGTGCGCAATCAACTTGACCGCGGCCAGTTCCCTAAAAACCGCCTTCTGTTCCGCTCGCGTGCATGAGACAGAAAATTTCTCACGCACGGTTCGCGTCGTGGCGACAGTGTCGTTGGTGACTGACACCGGGGGAACCGTCAGACCTCGAGCTAGATCGATCTGCGAAGGTCCACGTGCCCGAAATTCTGAGAACGCCCGACTTGAACAAATTGCGAGGCCATGATCTCATGGCTTGAACGATCACGACCGTCGGATAGCTCAGCTGTTTTTCCCCACATGCTTCGTGGGGTTCTGGTTTTCTTCCTTGCCGCGCCGCACCCGCGACACTCCAACACACCTCACTCTTCCTCTCCTCCTCACAGCACTGCTCAGCACATCTCAGCTCAGCTCAGCCCAGCACGGCACAGCTCAGCACGGCACAGCTCAGCTCATCTCAGCACAGCACAGCGCAGCACAGCACAGCATAGCTCAGCCCAGCTCAGCACAGCTCAGCTTAGGGGGTGCGCAGGGGGGTGGTCCCTCACCGCGGCCGCACGCAGGAATGCAGGGTGCGGCAGGCGTGGGAATGTCTCCATAACAGAGGCGGTGCGCGGGGGGTGCGGTCTCTATGCATTGCAGGCGCGCAGGGCACGGCAGGCGCAGCACTCTCTCGACACCAGGAGGGTGCGCAGGGGGTGCGGTCTCTATGTGCTGCAGGCGCGCAGGGCACGGCAGGCGTGGGAATTCTCGACACCAGAGGGGGTGCACATGGGGTGCGGTCTCTATGCGCTGCAGGAGCGCAGGGCACGGCAGGCGCTGCATTTTCTCGACGCCAGGAGGGTGCGCAGAGGGTGCGGTCTCTATGCGCTGCAGGCGCGCAGGGCGCGGCAGGCGTGGGAATTCTCGACGCCAGAGGGGGTGCACATGGGGTGCGGTCTCTATGCGTTGCAGGCGCGCAGGGCACGGCAGGCGCTGCATTTTCTCTGCACCAGGAGGGTGCGCAGGGGGTGCGGTCTCTATGCGTGGCAGGCGCGCAGGGCACGGCAGGCGTAGGAATCCTCGACACCAGGAGGGTGCGCAGAGGGTGTGGACTCTATGCGTTGCAGGCGCGCAGGGCACGGCAGGCGCGGCATTTTCTCTACATCAGGAGGGTGCGCAGGGGGTGCGGTCTCTATGCGTTGCAGGCGCGCAGGGCGCGGCAAGCGTGGGAATTCTCGACACCAGAGGGGGTGCACATCGGGTGCGGTCTCTATGCGTTGCAGGCGCGCAGGGCACGGCAGGCGCGGCATTTTCGCGACACCAGGAGGGTGCGCAGGGGGTGCGGTCTCTATGCGTTGCAGGCGCGCAGGGCGCGGCAGGCGTGGCACTTTCTCGACCCCTGAGGGGGTGCACAGGGGGTGCGGTCTCTATGCGTTGCAGGCGCGCACGGCACGGCAGGCGCTGCATTTTCTCGACACCAGGAGGATGCGCAGGGGGTGCGGTCTCTATGCGTTGCAGGCGCGCAGGGCGCGGCAGGCGTGGGAATTCTCGACACCAGAGGGGGTGCGCAGGGGGTGCGGTCTCTATGCGTTGCACGCGCGCAGGGCACGGCAGGCGCGGCACTTTCTCGACACCAGGAGGGTGCGCAGGGGGTGCGGTCTCTATGCGTGGCAGGCGCGCAGGGCACGGCAGGCGTGGCACTTTCTCGACACCAGGAGGGTGCGCAGAGGGTGTGGTCTCTATGCGTTGCAGGCGCGCAGGGCACGGCAGGCGCGGCATTTTCTCGACACCAGGAGGGTGCGCAGGGGGTGCGGTCTCTATGCGTTGCAGGCGCGCAGGGCACGGCAGGCGTGGGAATTCTCGACACCAGAGGGGGTGCACAGGGGGTGCGGTCTCTATGCGTTGCAGGCGCGCAGGGCACGGCAGGCGCGGCATTTTCGTGACACTAGGAAGGTACGCAGGGGGTGCGGTCTCTATGCGTTGCAGGCGCGCAGGGCACGGCAGGCGTGGGAATTCTCGACACCAGAGGGGGTGCACATGGGGTGCGGTCTCTATGCGTTGCAGGCGCGCAGGGCACGGCAGGCGCGGCACTTTCTCGACACCAGGAGGGTGCGCACGGGGTGCGGTCTCTGTGCGTTGCAGGTGCGCCGGGCACGGCAGGCGTGGCTTTCTCGACACCAGAGGGGGTGCACATCGGGTGCGGTCTCTATGCGTTGCAGGCGCGCAGGGCACGGCAGGCGCGGCATTTTCTCGACACCAGAGGGGGTGCACAGGGGGTGCGGTCTCTATGCGTTGCAGGCGCGGGGCGGCAGGCGCGGCATTTTCTCGACACCAGGAGGGTGCGCAGGGGGTGCGGTCTCTATGCGTTGCAGGCGCGCAGGGCACGGCAGGCGTGG